TGTACAGTAGCAATGTGAAGAGTAATCAGAGATGTCTCTTTGGATAGGAAAGGTAAAAAAACATCACCAAGTCTCAGTGTTAAACCTCTTTCTAATGCATGCATTGTTCAAAACTAAACTACTTGAGGAAAACATTGGACTTGTGGGAAGTCTTCTTCACCTAATTACCCCTTGTACTACAAGCTAAGCTTTACAGAAACCATGCTTATAGGGGAGCTCTTTTTCCTGTTCAGATTCTCACTTTCTGGTTCTGATTCAAGTAGACGCTGTCTACGACTGCTCATCGCTTTACCAGAGGAACTACCGAATCTCTGGTGTTTACAAGCTACCTCCTGATGAATTTTTGGGGAGTCCAGATCTGGAGGTAAGGATGTCAAGTACACAATCTATATTACACGTTTTTTCAGATATAATCAAGAAACGCTCATCTACTACAGAGATGAAAAGAGCACATACTGAGTTACGACACCCTGCACTTTCAATCAGTATCTTTATGTAGGCAAGCTTCGAGAAAGGAAAGTGTACATTTAAAGAAGGAAAGCAGAAAAAGAGTTAATTTAATAATTTTTTTCTATGACTTCTAAACAAAACAGGAACTTCTTCAGTTGTGAAATCCAGAATGATGTCTTGTCTTGTGTTAAGAGACTTGACCCTTCCTAAGTCTACTGATGATAAGCAAATACTGCCTTTTTTCCTGTTCTAGGTATTCTGTGACATGGAGACAGATGGAGGTGGCTGGACGATCATCCAAAGACGTAAAGTTGGTTTGACATCTTTCAATAGGGACTGGAAACAGTACAGGGAAGGATTTGGCAATATTCGGGGAGATTTTTGGCTGGGAAATGAAAATATCTACCGACTTTCAAGACGCCCCACTGTTCTGCGAGTGGAGTTGGAGGTAATTAATAAGCTCTCAATTTCAGCAGCAAAAGGTTTTTTTGTACAAAGTGATTCTCTAGCAGCAGATACCAACTCTTGTCTCTATAGAAGGCCCAAAGAATTTGCATGCTTCAGTTACAAGAGGAGGTAGGACAGATCTGATGATATATTCAAGGACAAGACAGAGTCATGTTCTCCAGCGTACAAAGTCAGTAGGACAATCTTACGTCTGCATACAGATTGCATCTTAGGGAATGTGTGGGGCTCTAGAGAATTCTGTGGAATCCACTGCAGTCAGAGATCAAACTGCTCACTACCTCAGATTAAAGATTCACAAACATGTCCCATAAAGTTTTAAAGACTTCTCATTTTGCAGCACTTCCTTGCACCCTGTGTACAAAAGTTTGCATAGTATTACAGCAACACAATTTCAACAGCCTAGTAAAGGCTTGGGTTTGACTTAGACTAGTTTATAGCTGGTACAACAGCTTTGAGAGATGGGATGGGTATGATGGAGAAAGTGAGCTGAAAGGCTTTATAAAGTCACTCTTTCAGAGAGGAAAAAAAATTACTTGAGACAGCACACTGAGACAAGATGTTGAATATAAGAGCTGTGCATCAGGTTTCCATACACATTGTTTAATACCAGTGCAGATAAGACTTGGAAATACGATGCTTTACTCTGGAAAGTTTCTTTGCCTTAACAGATAAGTTCCTGCAGTCAGAGACAGCAAAAAAAACTCGTAAAAAATCTAGGACTGAGAAAAGACAACATAACATGCACCATAGATGGTGGAGTCTTTTCATAACGGTTCTAATAGGACCTATTTCTTCTTCCCTGTTGTGGCACAGGACTGGGAAGGTAACGTCCGCTACGCACAATACAAGCAATTCACCCTGAGCAACGAAATAAACAGCTATCGTCTTTTTGTGGGGAACTACAGTGGCAACACGGGGCGCGATTCCCTCCGGTACCACAACAACACAGCCTTCAGCACGAAGGACAAGGACAACGACAAGTGTGTGGATGACTGTGCCCAGTTCCGTAAAGGTAGAACGTGCCTAAATACCTGCCTGTCCTGAGAGTGCTGCCCGGGTAATTTGCAGAGAGCCCAAGATTCCCTTTTTCCAAATAACTAATAAGTAGCATCTGGATGGTAAATCAAGGGAGAGGTGACCAATTCTGGAATACACGCTGACTGGTTATGTGGGGAACCTGGCAGTTAAAGCTGACTTACACAGAGCCAGCCTGTATGACAGACACCAGTACTGCTCAAATGACCCAGTGCATGCTCTCACCTACACATACTGTTATCCAGCCCATTACGTGCATTTGCCCATCTGCCAGACTATCTCAGATGTTGATGCAATTCAGTGATGCAGGAAGTTATTCCTGTATATCTAGAAGGTTTTTATTTTTTCTTCTATTTTTACGAGGCTTCAAGTTCTAGTATTAGGGATTTGTAATTATTCTCCTGTACTATTATCCTACACACACTCCAAGGTTCAACCTGATTCCTAATAGAATAGAAATAAAGATTATAAAGATTAAGAGCTTCTAACGAGGTTACTCTCTTCATTCAATTTATTGTCTTTATATGAGGTCTGCCACAAAGATAATTGTCTTCACTACGTCTTGCCTTTTATTTTTAATTTCCTCAGTGTTCGCCTATGCAACCTGCACATAAAATTGTTGATACCAGTCTCAATAAAATAGCACATCTTACCTACAAAGTCCAGAAATCTTCTAAACGCCTTAAGGTGCCCAAGCTAAGAAACCAAATTCGTTCCCTATGCTAACTCTCAGTCAGAGACAGAAACATATCAAGGAAGTATTTTAAAAGGAATGAGTAATTAAATGAAAAGCTACTGGACTAATCTGACCATGTAACTGTGAAGCCTTTATGTGTTTAGTATCTATGTTTTGAATTTACCTGCAATTCCAGCTATTAGGGCTGCAGGCTCCAGGGATTAAATGCTGCACTCTGGTCGCTCTCCTCAGGAAAGAGCAGTAATTCTCATTTTTAATACAAAACATAGCTGGTTTAAGTGGCTCACCAGGAATCTATTAATTTGTTTTCTGAAAAGGTGGATACTGGTACAACTGCTGCACAGATTCCAACCTGAACGGGGTTTACTACCGCAAGGGAGAACACACCAAGAACATGGACGGCATTACCTGGTACGGATGGCACGGATCAACCTATTCACTGAAGAGAGTTGAGATGAAGATCCGGCCAGAGGATTTCAAACCATAGAGGGAACCAATATTTGATTGCATAGCTACATGATGCCACTGCACAGAAGGTGGGCAATGGACAGCTCAAAATCAGCCAAACAATTGTTCATTTCATCTAATATGTGTAACAGCTCCATACTGGCCATGTACACACACACAAACACTAAAGCACAGTAAGCACCAGCCACAGCCACTGGTGTTATCAGGGCTCAAACTTATTTCCTCTTCTGAAGGCTCTTCCTTAACTCCTTCCAAGAGGGACTCAAATCACAAAAATTACATACTTGTTTCCAACCAGAGGAATCAATCAGAAGTGTCCCTGATGCACCTTTCTTTAGAGTATAGTAAGTGGCTTACATTCCTACAGAGGAAGAAGAGAAGCTCAAAAATTTGGAATTAGTATCACCCAGGTTGTCTCCTGAAGTTTTACTGCCATCTCCGGCTGCTCCCTCAAATAAGTCCCCACAGAATGCACCCAGCAGAGAGTGACCCTGGAGAAAGGATTTGTCCCATATGCTCTGTGATACTTATTCCTATCCACAGATCACCTAAAGGTTGATAAACTAGAAAGCAGCTTTCTGGGCTGCCAACAAATTATGTCCAGGTTAGAACGCAAGTGTGCTATGTGTCAGTAAGACTAAGAGAGAACAGCAGGTTAGCAAAAAAATCCAGACCCAGCTCAACTCCAAAACTTAAAACAACTGTATCCATGAGCAAAACACTAGGACACACCAGGGAATCCGTAAGTGCCAAAAGTTATTCAAACATAAGAGAATGTTTGCTAGCACACCACACAGAGGAATATTGAAAACTTCTGAAAACTACCCCAATTACAAGTTGCCTAGAGATGTTATGTCACAAATCAGTATGTTTCTCCCTTACATAACAGTGTTAAAAATAACAGTTAAAAAAAAGAAAGAGACTCCTCCTGTAGCCATACCACTGTTTGAATTTGTTGGAAAGAGTAGTTATAGTTAATATATCTATTTTTATTCACCTTAAAGAGAGTTTGAATCTAATTTAAGTTGTTCAGTCTTGCGTGAAATGGGAGACAAAGATGCCTCGGGAATTGCCTTACTTACGTTTGACTATTCATACTGTAAATTTCAACTGTGTGGAACTATAGTTGGAACTATTTTAACTGTGGTCTGTAAAATGGATTTTTAAAGGTTTCTGAACTTTTTCATTTCTAATAAATTGTCTTTCATTTTTTAATCCTGCTTTACTTCAAGTCTTTGTTCCTTAACTTGCTTTTTGATACACAAAGAAACAGCTGCACAAGTGATTGAGGCCAAGAAAGGGCCTCAACTAAATTTTTCCTCAACTAAAATCAATTTGCACATCTCAAATGGTAGTTAACATTTCTGTGATATGAAACTGAGATTCACGTTTTAAAACATGTAGTTTAGTACCAAACCCTGTGCAGGTACATCAGGCTAACATTGTTCTTGTTGACAAAGCTCAGGAAACAATCCACTCTTGCTATAGTATCTTCTATTTGACAGATGAAAAATGAGACCTACCTAAGCTAGATGATCAGAAATTTTAATTAAGAACTTCAGCTTTTCTGGCTTATTTATATTTAGATGAGAGAGATTTCTACACCTACCTTACAGCCACTCTGTAACATCCCATATTGATCTTGAACAGTGAGAGGTAGAAATCAGAAAACTCCACTTTTTCCTGCAAAACTTCCCACGGCTACTATCATAGTTTTAACTGCATAATAGAAGGGTAGAACTCAGCACCCAGGAGTTACTAAGCCTAGAACAAAGTCTTGTAGCAGAGAGTGAAATCCTAAGAATTGTCTAGATTCATCCTATGGGTATTCTAAATTGGGATACTGATGTAAGAGCAGAAATCTCACCAGTTGTGGTCCTACCTGATGAGAGACTCCAGAATGGCTGGGGTGGGACCCTTTTGAAATTCCAGCTCCTTGTAGTGAAGGGCCTTGGCATACGCTCGACATTTTGCAGCTCTTTCCCCCAGGAGGACAATGCCATTATCATCTCTCAAAGGCAGTGGACCCTGAGTAGGAGCACATACATCAAAAGCAAGATGAGTATAAAAAAGAAGAAATTATGCATAGCATAATGCATAACTAGTCCAAAGACTAGGCATCAGCCAGCTAGCCAGCCTTAAAGAAGAGCTGCCTCACAGCATCTCTACCTTGTCACTGTGCTCCATGAATTCTGCCAAGTTCAGCAGTGTCTGAGTGACTTCTGCAATGTCCTGAGACGTCAGGGCCAATTCAATGCTTCGGATCAGCTCATCCTGCTGGTCTTCGTTCAGTTCAGACCAGCATGAAACAAAAGCAGCATTGAAGAGATCTCTGAGGAGGAAAACAAAAGAGTGAGCGGTGGGGATTCATTATTCATGAGAAAGAGTCTATTTGACAGTGGACTTGCCTTTGTATTCAGAGAAACAGCTACAAAATGCATTTATATGTCTACCTGCAATAAACAGTGATTAGCTTTTATCAAGCTAACTTCTGCATCACATACTTAGTGAAACCTGCATTTTAAAAACATGTAATAAGATGAGATACTACATGGGTAGAAATACTGTACTATCGTATGCTAGCAAGTATTTTAGTATTTTTCTGTGCTCAGAGGACTGCAATAGCTGGAGTTTGCACGAGTGGCAAAGCTTGAGAAGGAGGAAAGGTGATAAAAACAGATACAGTGATGACCCTGTCACTGCTAGTACTGTGGAGAAATACTGTGGGATGGGTTTGAGAGCATACATGGAGGATGCCAGAACTACCTCTGTCTACCAAGGAATTGCTGATTTTTCATCATACTGTTTGCCCTTCTATTTCAAAAAATGGTTAAACTCACATTGAGACAAAATTAAACCAGAAACAAATACTTTTCTAAACAGCAGTGGTCAGATTCGCATGCATGGAGTTGACAAGTTTATATTATCTAGAAGAGATAAACAGGCAACTGCTTATAGAAACTCTGTCTCTCCAGACATACTGGTTGCAAAAGAAATAAAGCACTACAGCTTATTCCACTCGAGAGGCATTTTTATTCACCCACAGTAGATCCTCGAAACTATTTCATACTCTGCTGCTTTTCCAGCTTCACTTCTATGTGCCTTATGTTATTTCTAGACTAATATGCAGAATTCCACTGAATGATTTTGTGAACATCACAGAGCAGCCAACTGGGAAGGGCGGAAATGAAATCAAGTTGCCAGCTATTTGATTTGTCCCAAAGCAGGAACTATCTCTATGTATAGAACCTAAGAGCTTTTAAGTAACTTTCTTTTTCCTTATTTTATCTGGCTTGCATCTGCAATTTCAAGTGATCCAAAAGAGAAAGAATTACTCTACCGAGCCATGGGATTATATGCCTGAGCCAAGGCCCAGCATGAGCGCAAGGACGGTGAGGAGGAATCTTTCAGCAGCTCCAAACTCAGTCGTCTTAACCATTCTAACCAGTCATCTTTGGAAACTCTTCTTGCTGCTCCCCAGGCCTGCGGTACAAAGCAAGACAATTGAACTAGCAAATGCAGAAGTATTCAAAAGAAGAAATCCATCAGCAGGCAGCATTACTTCTTTACAGCTCCAAGTCACATTGTTGAGATTCCCTTTTCAATTCCCTGAAATCCATTACCTTACCAAACAATTTGCAGTACTTCAGTTTCGTTTCTAAGAAATCTTCCCTAAATGTATTCCTGTCATGATATACCAAGTATTTAACATGAATATTTTTTTCCCAACAAAAATACATCAAGAGCTGAAAGTCACTGTTGAAACATCAGCTTAAAGATACTTAATGCATTTAGAATTACATTTTTAAGTCCAGCATTTTCAAACCAATCCATCCTACTACTGAGCTGAGCACTACATGAATTTACTGTTCAAATTAGTGCTTAGCTATTAAGGCCTAAACTGGCTTCAAGAGGTTATAGCACTAATATATTAAGAGAAGTGGTGATGAAGAAAGGCAGAGACTCTGAAATAGGTGTCTCTAGAAGCTATAGATGATTCCTTGTGATCTAGGAAGTCTTGTTCATATTCCACACAACAAGAAAGTGTCAAGGTTACTTCACAGTCATTAATAATCTGATAACCCAGCTGCTTCTATCTTTAAAAGTTGCTTAGCACCTTCTACTTTTGAAGTCTCAGACACTGCTTTGACCTCAGTTTTGTGCAGAACTGGCAACAGAAGAGAGATGTAAATAAATGTAGTTTAGATGCACTGGTCAGAGTTCTCAGATGGGACATAACTTCTCCCTTCAGTAGCCAAACTCATGCTGTGCAGTGCTTCAGTCTTACCTTTTGCAGGTTGATGGTGCTAACGTGCAATTTCTTCATGGGACCTGTTTCCACAGGACCACTGGCTAAGGTTTCTCCCTGATTGCTTCTCAACATTCGGTGCTGATAAATCAGGGGATCTTCTTCTTCATCAGCAAGAGTATAGCCCTATAATAAACAGCTTACAATGAAGATCACACCCATGCACATAAAAGTAATTTTCTACAAATCAAATGGATGATAAAGTCAGAATTGTTGACAATTTTCTCAATGCAATCTCAAAGTCTCCTTGAAAAGTTGTGCTTAACACACAAACACAGCAACGACCATTCTTCATTTTATGAGCAACTCAAAGTGAAGTTTCCAGCTATATGTTTCAACACAAAAACATCCCCAAACAACTATATACTTGTCAACTCACCTTTACAATTCTGCAGATAAGAACATCATAGCGTTGATGGTTAATTCTGTGTCGCACCAGAACTTTGTTCACCATCGGGATAAAAATCTGGTACTGTACAAGGGAATGCATCAAAAGCTAGTTACTCAGTCTCACCAAGAGCAGTAAAATTCCATCTTTGTTTCATGGATCTTATAAGAAACCAATTCTGAAAGTTTGATTTCAGTAACTTCTGATTCTAGAAACAACTAAGAGAAGAAAAATTGGTTTTCTTTAAAATACAGAATGATTTGCCTACTAATATTCAACTTTAAAGCCTTGATCTTTGGGACAGTCCCTCCTTCTATGAGCTTTCAACTCTAAGAAGTATATTACCTTCTTTCCCAGCTGGAACACCAGAGAGGAGAGGGTGTCCATTGCAGTTGTTCGTAGCTCAGGGCTCTGATCTAGTGTTCGCACGATGGGATGAATAATTCGTGAAGCATAATCAGTGAAATCCAGGGACTCTGTCAAGCGGTCCACTGTTTCTAGAGCAGCTCTAAAGTAAGTGCAGAAAGAAGGGAGGACTTATCTCTCATGATATAAAACAGGAGAAACAGTGTTCAAGCTAGTGCTTGCAGGTAAGAACCATAAGGTAACAGTCTATACCCAAAAAAATCTAGTAACAGTGCTATGATGTCCAACCAAAAATAACCTTCCATAATGAATTAGCAGAGAGAAAACCTGTGAAAGGAACTAAATGGTGTTTCACTTCTACCCGTGGCTAGGGCAGCCATTGCAGAACTGGGATATCACAGGTAAAAAAATAAAGAGGCTGCAAAGTCACCAACACTTACTTGCGAGCCACCACTGGGACATCTGGGGCATCAAATAGCTTTACAATGGGAGGTAGTAACAAATGAAGGTAGTCATCCAGGTTAGCTCCAAAGAGCTGGATCGCATTCAATAGCTGGAGGAAAAAAAAAGGACCCAGTGTGACTTAAAGTCATGAAAGAGATGCATTTTAAGTAAGTCAGCATCCTGTGAAAAGCTGCTTCCACACTGCACTTTTAAACAGAGTACTGTCTGCATCATTTTACACCAAGCCATTGCAGAACTGCACCTATCCCATTTTGCTTGCAACACACCAGCAAGAAGCACTGCTAGAGCGTGGCACACTGGGCACGAACCTGCCTCGGTAGTACCCAAATCAACCCAGCTGCTGCAGCTTCCCACTCACCTTGACAGAGACAATTCGACTCTGACTATTGTCATGCATGAAGACCCGTAACATGTGAGGAATGAGCTGAGGCAGATAAAGTTTGAATTCGCCTCCTAGAGCCACCACAATTTGCTCAATAAGTAGGATAATTGTGCTCTGTATGGAGTTATTCATGACCCAGAAGTCCTACAGAAGAAGAAAAAAATAGAAAAAAATTAAACAGTTCAACTGAGCTGTACCAATTACAAGAAAAGCAAACTGTAGGAGACAGTCTCCAGATAAATTCAAGATTGCAAGGAAGGACTATACTTCCCTTACAGGCTAATACAAATTGGCAGTTTCGGTCTGTTTTTAAAACACACTGTGCCTTCAGTATATTTATAGCTGTTAAAAACAATGTCTAGACAACTGATTTTTCCTAATCCTCTAAGCGTTTGCAAACAGAAAGTGAAAATGAAGTGAAATGCCACCTATTTATGAACTCCAAACACTTCTTACTAAAACTATGTTTCTGAAAGTAATAAGTACACAAAATCCACGTACTCAAAAGAACTCGGGCACCAGAAGAACCTAGGAGCTTATTGCAGTTACTAGTAATAATGTATATTATTGTTTCAAACACGTTATTTCAAAATACAATTATTACTTCAAATACATGGAATTCTGCTCTTCATATGAGTTTATGAATTAATTGATACATTTGATAACGACAGAACCACTATCCACCTTTTCTGACAGTAAAATGCTGGCTTAAAGACTGTACTCACTCTCATCAGGGTGACAATTTCATCCATATAGGGCCGAATATGACTTCTCACAAAGGACACCAACATCCCTAGCTGCTGGAACAGGAACTGGAAGGAAGAAATGTGTAGTGATCAATGTAGCTTATTCAAATATCAAAGCAACACTGGGTAAACGGTGTTTCACAGGCCAATTGCAAGCACATTTACCAAACAAATAGCATGCACAGCTCCTATATGCTCAAAATCCAGGGCTAAACTCTTGGCAGCTTCAGCTCAATCATTTGGGTTTTTGGCTGTGTGTGGAGGGGGTGGGGAGTGGTTTTGGGTTTTTGGGTTGGGTTCCCCCCCACCCCCAAGTTGCATCAAAAATTTTGTGAGCTCAAAGCCTTAGACAGTTAAGCATACAAACAGGGGTTCATAACGTGTCAAATTTATAGTGTTAGAACAAACTCGTAAGCACAAATATCTCAACTACAGAGCTTTGTAATTTAGGTTCAAAGGATGCTCCCAAAAATTTAGCCCCTGATCTTTTCCCCCTACCTGTAAAAACAAACTAGTATACATTTTAAGCTACTCTTTC